GTTATTGTGGTTTAAACCTCTTTTTTGTGTGTGTGAAATTTTGTGAAATTTGTGTTTCATGTTGTGTAAAAATGCTTGTTTATGGTCAGACATCATACAGCAAGCAACAGAATTCATTCTGTAATAATGACAATGTTTGAAATTGATGTAATAATGGTGGCTGTACTGTTAGAAAAGGCAGGGGGTGGGGGGTGGGCGGGGGTGGGTGTGGGGTTCTCTCCAAATGGTCATTACTTAGGCTTCAGTAGAAAAATAGGTTTCAAAATCCATCAGTGGTGCAGCCTGAGAGAACAAAACCTGTCTTCATCCCTGCTCACACACACACACACACACACACACATGCACACACACACACACACATAGACACACAAGCATTGTATCTCTCCATAAATGCTGTGTCATGTCTGGCTAAAACAACAATGTAAAGTCTAAATGACAAACATCAACCAGATGAAACCAGAGGCGTCTGGCAGGAGCGTCACTGTGATGGTGGCCGAGTGATTCATTCACAGGTAAAGAAATGCAGATTTAATCTTGAGTCGTCGCACATTCACTTCAGGCTTGTGTCATTTTGAAAGAACAGGTAACAAGTGAGACCTTGTAAGACCGACCAGCGCCGCGGTTTCAGGTGTGTGCATACTTTCCTTACTTTAGCCCCTCGATAAGCTTGAGTCACTCTTCAGATTTTTGTTTACCAGAGTCCAGTAACAGTCAGTTCTTCTTTCTTTCTTTCATCTATCTATCTTAATCTGGTTCGGTCCCAGCAGGAGGGCTACAGTTTCACCAGGTGTCTCTCTCTTGTCCTCCACTTGGTAAAGACAAAAGCTGTGAACACATCTTTATTATAAGTGGTCCAAGAAGTAAAAGCATGTGCAGCATCTTGCTTCAGTATTCCAACCATGACTGTGAGTGAAACCAATTCGGGTTAATTGAATGAGAGCTCCTTACTAAACAGCCACATGTGTTTGGGTTTAAATTGTAGTCTGAATCAGCACCAGCAGCAGGAGCAGCAGGGTCTCCCTGTCCAGGCCGCAGAGCTTCACTGTTGTCGGGGGGGGGGGGTGGGATTCTGCGGTCTCTCACACACACACACACACACACACACACACACACACACACACACACACACACACACACACACACACAGGAACCTGTAGCTGAGAGGCAGCATGTGTTTCATTAAGGAGAACCTTCCAAGCTTGACAGTGTAATATGACCTGTCTGGAGGGGAGCTGCTTTGGTGTGTTGCCTGGGGCAGAGAGGAAGAATCTGGATGGGTGGGTGGGTGTTTGATGGGGTGGGGGGGGGGGTGGGCAGCCACCCCAGCACTCCCTTAGATCTGGGCCCGAGACCAACACGTGACTCAAAGTGGGTTTGATCTCAGCAGGGACTGTGACAGGTATCAGGGGCAACAAGGTCAGACAATGCGGTCTTTGATCAGACGTATGAAGGAACAGAGATGGTGCCATCTACAGAAACATGCTTCAGTCATAGTGTGCTCACAAGGTTTTTAAGGCTGCTTTCTTTTGAAATTTTTAGACGCTAGCAGCTGTATGAGAAACTTTCCCTGGCAAAATATAATAAAGCAGCCAAACATTTGATTTAACTGAAATATAATTGAATTAAAGGAGACTGTAAGAAAGACGCCCATGGGTCAGTGGTCAGCAACTGGCAAAACAATAATATCTGACCCGTCAGATTATTTTGATGATCTGATTTTTTATTTTATTTTACAATATCAGACTGACTGTCTCACATTTAGTTATAATGTCCACATAGAAAATCTACCCTCACCTGAAGAAGCTTTCTAAACTTTCATCCATGTTGAGAGAGACACAAACAGTCAGTGCGCAGTGCCTGGTGCTAAAACAGATCTCCATCACGGCAGCAACAATTACCCACGGAATCACTTCCCCTTTAGCAATTTCTGAGGACAAAATAAAAGCGTGAGAAAGTTCATATTGTTTTCAACTTTATTTCAAGATATTGTGAGCTTTCATTCTGAAAAGTTCTGGCCTGTAGGTTCAAAAGGACATAGGATGTGCGATTTAAAAAAAACACCAGTTCAGTAAATCAGTCGGAATGTGGCCACAGTGCCACATGTGAATAGTAACTAAGTAAATTAAACCAAGTAATGCTTAACTCTTGGGTGACCTCCAGTGGCCGTAGTCAATATGACGGGAGCAAAAGAGGAAGTCAGGTGAGGTAGTATAAAGATCGACAGTGTCCGTGTTAGGAAGAGGTCGGGGTGGATGGATGGCCGAGTTGTTTCTTTTATCCATGACCGTTCCACAGCCTTAACCACATGTTTATTACCGTAACTGTGACAACGAAGGTCCTCTAACTTAAAGGAAGTACTTATTCTAACCACGACCTTCTACTAAACTCAAGCAGTTCTTGTGCCTGAAGCTAAGCAAACAATGAAAGTTCCACAGCTGTGCCCTTGTGCTGTGGGACACCAGGTACAGGTACACTCCTGTGGGTTGCACTCGAGGGTAAGGACAAGAGACTTGTCACTTAGGTTGGAGGACATTTAGGTTGGAGGATGTGTTGAATTAAACACTACTGAGCAAGCGTCCGTGAGCAAACTCGAGGGCTACAGACAAGTTCGGTTGAAAATATTCCTATTCATTTCCACTGTCGATAAAGACATTAATGTAGTAGTGTTAGTGCTACAATGAATTCTGATTTTAAATCCTTATACTTGTTCGTTTCAACATAGTTAAGCTACTATTTCCCAGCCGGTCAGTGTGATGAAGATTTTCAGGTATAAAAGTTCCACTCTGGTCGTGTGGTCGTGTGGTCGTGTGGCGTAGTGGTCTAAGCAGGCGCCCCATGTGTAGAGGCTACAGTCCTCGCTGCAGTTGGCCCCGGTTCGAGCCCTGCATCGGACAGCCCTTAGCTGCATGTCATTCCCCCTCTCTCTGCCTCCCCATTTCCTGTCTCTCTCTACTGCACTATCAATAAAGGCATAAAAAGCCCAAAAAAATATACTTTAAAAAAAAAGCTCCATTCTGAGAACCAGACTGTTGTCAGCATCTAAATATGAGCTGAGATGTATCAGACTTCAAAGTGGCTCCTTAACCCGAATATTCAACTAAACATGTACTCATGCAAAAATAATCAGCGCAGAGTCAACAGCAGGTGTGTTGAAGTACACCGCTTCATTCAGGACATCAAAGGAAGTGGCCTCACACCTGCTGAGCAGCTATGACTCATCTGGCCGACGGCCAGAGAGACACAGGTCCACAGACACGTTTTAAAGGTGCTTCTCTGCGCAGAGTGAGGCTGTGGACACTGCAGCCGTCGTCAAACACACCACCAACTCTCATCACCTGTTCTCAAACACAGAGGTTGGAGGAAGCCACCTGAGACCAGTGGATTGTCTGAAAAGATAAACAGGCATTGTGTGGAAAGTGAAGCAGTAAACCTGCTGTTCCAGGGCAGCTCCCAGCACCTGACAGCAAATACACACAAACCCACCTGTGCTTCCTGTCTGTTCATGATGTTATTCATGTTGCCTGTCAACTTAGAGAAGGCGAGACAGAGCGGCAGGTTTATTTGTAGAGAATCTTTCAAACATAGAGGCAAAACACACATTTACTGGTGAAACCCATAGACTGTCAATAAAGATGGATGTTACCTCTGAAGCTCTGCTCCACGGTTGCCATCTTGGCAGCGTGTGACTCCACCTAACTCCCAGCCGCTCCTGCCAGTCCTGTCTTTCTACAATGAGTTTGCCTTTGATAATAGTCATCAATAATAATAAGTATCCAATGGTGACAAGCAGTCGGAAATGTGAAGAGTTCAGAAAGCAGCCATGTGATTTTTTGTTTGCCCTCGTTTAGAGCAAGAGAGAGAGAGAGATAGAGAGAGCACTGGAGAACTACTGCCTTTCACCTCATGTAGCTTATTGACATAATAGGGCACCTCGGTGGCTCACCTGGTCGAGCGTGTACCACATGGTCCTAACTGTCCTAACTGCAGCGTCCAGGGTTCGAGTCCGACCTGCTGCCCTTTGCTGCATGTCATCCTCTCTCTTTCTCTCCCTGAATTTCCTGTCTATCTCTCACTGCACTGTCAGAGTAAAGGCAAAAATGCCCAAAAATATAACTTAAAAAAATTACTTATTGACATAATATAAATATATATAAATATAAATATAGTAATATTTCTGCTATGACAATATGGTGCGCACATAGCCTCCATTTTCTTCTGTAATAACTGAAAAAATGGTAAATAATAAAAAATAATATAATAGTAATTAATAATAATAATAATTATTATTATAATAATCTTCTTCATCTTATTTATTGGTCAGCCACAATTTTCTGTAATCTGTTATCTGGATCATTCCACGGTCTGATGGTTTGTTAGCGGGGCCTGGGCTTAGGGCTGTATGATATGCAAAAGAAAAACATATTGCGATTACTTTTGTCAGATATCACAATTGTGATTTCAGTTGGAAATTTAGCAGTTTATTTTCACTGAAAACTATTTTAAAATGATGATTGATGATTTTTGAGTCTTGTACCAAACAAACATGTTCCTTTACGTCTGGAGAACATGATTTGTAGGCCGAGGCGTCTGTGTGGCACCACCTTATGGCGATAACAATGCACAACAATGTTGAGACACATTTTAACTTCATCAAAAAAAAAAAATGCAGCTCCTGCGATTTGGATATATCACTTGGCCATGTTGTGATTTCGATTATATTTCGATTGATGGAGTGCCCTGCCTGAATCACTGTCTCAGTCCGCCCCTGGTCGGCCTGATCAATGCAAAATGATCATTATCCCAGTGAGAGTGATTTAAAGGTTAAATGCTGAGTCAGCCCTGGTGTCTCTGGTGTGTTTCTGGGATTGATGTGACTGGTGGATTTATCACCATGAGCCTCTTCACCAAAACTGCATCCTGCAGCTCAGTTAAAGGAAGGAAGGTGTGGTGAAGCTTGTTTCTACCGTGCACGTAATTGTACTGACTCTTCACGGACTGACCTTTCCTCTCAAAGCTGTCCCTGCGGACGAAGCAGACCATGGCGAGGAACTTGGTGACCTCCTTCAGGTACATGACTGTAGTGTTGTTCAGATGGATGATGGCCATGGACTCCTTGTCATAGGGTAACCCAGCCTCACAGTCTGTCAGCCTGAGGAAAAAACACACACCCCAGTGCGGAGAAGTAAGAATAAATAAATAATGCATCCTCTGACATAAACACTGGCCATGTTTCGAACATGGAGAGCACTTCTACTGAGGGAGCATTTTCTGTTGGATCTCTGCTGCTATTACAGCTTCTTGTTTTGGACAATTTCAAAGGAAGCACACAGTGGTTGTTTTTCAGAACAACAACAGACCTCTGATTTAGTATTCAACTGCAGGAATTCCAAGATGTGGAGTGCAAGGTGGAGGAGGAGGGAGGGAGGCAGAGAGTGGAGCAATGAACAGAGCAGTTTAGAGGCAAATGGAGGAGAGAATTTAAGAAGAAGAGGAGCATGAGGGCACAGACAGACACTGAGCACTGGACAGAAAGGACATGCTGTTTCTGGTGTTCACTGGTAATGTATTCTGTTTGCACAAAGGAAGACAACAAACAAAAGAAAACACTGTTTTCTTCAGTCCATCTGGTGAATATTAATCTTTCCTTCCTGCTTTTTCAGCTTCTTCTCTTTTTCAGCCACAAGGGACTTTTAATTTGGCAGCACAGTATTATTTTATAGTCAAGTGTATTAGTCAAGCTCATTCAGCACAGGGGCTTCAAAACAGGAAAACTCCAGCAGGTTAACAGAACTTCTCAGACTGGGTCAATACTCGGATGAGAAAACCTGAATTTAAAGTGTGAAGTTGTGTTTTCTTGCCGCGGGGAAAGCAAAGCAAACAGGACGTGATATCATCTGCGCAGTTTACAATCTGACCTGATGTTCCAGCAGCCAGACAAACAGACATCAAACCTCATCCAACAGGTGGGTGCTGCCTTTCCATCCGCATACATGTTGCACATTAGCAGCAGCAGCTCCGTTCACACTTCTCCTCTGATTGTGACCGTTACATGAGATTTATTTGGCATTTAGCAGCTTACAATGAGAGCATTCACGGTCCATATGTCAGCGTGACCGCTTCAGACAACACAGTGCGTACGTGTTGTGTGTTTGTGTTGTTAATGTGTAGAACAAATTGTTTTGAGTCTGTGGTGGCAGACGTGCAGTGACTCTGCTGTCCTGACTTCATCCCTGGAACCGCTGCAACGCCAGAACATAGGTGAGTCTTTAGCGAGGTGAGGGAGCTGAGGGTCCTTTGAGTGACGGGGTGGTAAATGCTCCAGAGCTGGAGGAGCGCAATGACATCATGAATGTTTACCTACCTACACCTGGATCAGAACTTTCCTCATATTCAACTTTACAGCAGGGCAGGGGGAGGAGACCTGTGGTCCTGGAGTCCTGGAGGACTGGTTTTGAAGACTTTGGCAGGTGTTTATATGTCTGTGGACAGATGTTGTCAACGTGATAGCATCGCAACCTTGCACAACTTTGCAGGTGTGTAGTTGAGACCAAAATGAAGGCCGAGTCAGAGTATGGGTGTGGTTGACGTAATGAGTAATAATGTGGTAATGAGGACTGATGGGTCAGAACGCCGACACGTTGACAGGCGGTGTTGTACAAGTTCAAAGTTCAGTTCACACAGACTAAAATGAACTAGTTCACTTTCATTTCTTCTATTGTTTTAAATGAGCTGCTCTGAGTTTTTCTTTTCCAGTAGAACCTCCATCCATCCATCCATCCATCCATCCATCCATCCATCCATCCGTCCATCCATCCATCCGTCCATCCATCCCCAGCTCCCATTGTCAGATACTGTTTACAACTATAGCGACACAGACACAGATTACTTCTAAAAGATCATAAAAAAAACTCCTTGAATATATGTTTTAAGTGCGTCTGCTGTGAGTTTGACTCAGGTAGAGGAACTTTTCATTTTATTTCTTGTGATCATCCTTGACTCGCAGATAAAATACTAGTTGGATGCTTCTGTTCTGCAGCCACACTTATATCTCTGAATCTTTTAACAGCCATTAGGCTCATATTTGACCTGTAAGACTCACATTTTTTTTTTTTTCATATATATTTTTTGGGGCTTTTTATGCCTTTATGATAGCCTAGTAGAGAGAGACAGGAAATGGAGAGGCAGAGACAGGGGGAATGACATGCAGTAAAGGGCCGTTCGATGCGGGATTCGAACCGGGGCCGACTGCAGTGAGGGTGGCGCCCCATTAAGACTCACATTTTAAGGCCATTGTTCATTGTTCTCAGATTTCCACACAGTCAAAGAAATAACTAGAATCACCTCCTGGTGGTCGTCTGCCTCCTCCACTCAGACTAGTTTCAGGTCACATCCCTGTTTATCCAGAGTCAGAGAAAATATCAACCATTAGTGTGAAACTTTGTCATAATTGCTGTGTGAAGTCTTATGATCTTATGAAGACTTTCTTATGAAGTCTTAGAAGAGTTACGGCTCAAAAGTGTCACACTGACCGTGACCTTTGACCTTTGACCACTAAAATCCAACCCGTTCGTCCTTGAGTCCAGGTGAATGTTTGTGCCAAATTTTGAAGGTCTGTCAAGGCGTTACTGAGATATCGTGTCTAATAAAGTGGGATGCAGGTACAGACAATCTGACGACCCGAGAATAATAAGTGCATCCTGGTCAGATTTAAAACCGTAGTGCACCATGGGACGTCTCTCCCGTCTGACCACCGTATGCAGCAGAGGAAGCAGAGCTGGCGACGAGGTTGTGTTGTTCCATGTCGCACTGCCCTTGCACAGTTAGTTTTGTGCAAAATTTGAGGAAAGTTCAAGCCCGGCACGCTGTTTTCCTGCATCGCTCGGTGGACAGTGAGTCAGATGATTCAGATTATTTTACTTGAGCTCAATATTAAAACAAAGAAAACACACTGTGCAGGTGCACTGTTTATTTTACCCACAACCTGCCAACATCTGCTTTGTTTTTACTCATTCCCATCAAATACTAAATTGTTTTTATTTGTGACTCGTACTTTTTGCTGGTAACTACTCTACAACTGCAATATTGGACTAACAATGGTACGTGAAAACATGAGTCCATCATCCACAGCTACAGGCTATAATTGTTTAGAGAAAAGGTTGTTTTGCTTTGGGTTTTTTTGTTTGGTTTTTTTTTTACTTGTTGAGATTTCTTCCTCGAGCCTGACAGAGGTGAAGAAAATTCAGTTTGTGGCGCTTTGAAATGAACGTTTAAATAATTCAAAAGCAACATCTACTTTCAGAAACATTGTTCCTGTTATCTACGGTGGCCCTGAGAGCTGAACGCACTGCAACTTAAGGAAACACATTCCACACACACACACATTCAGAAAACATCTCTATCAATTTGACAACACGTGAGCTGCAAATACTCACAACGCAACCAAATACACAAACATAAAGAACATTTTAAAAAAGTGATGAAGTGGAATGTGCTTGCATGGAGGCCACATGGATGTATTATATGTGAACTTGTTCAGTGCTTTTAATTTCAAAAGTCACAGAGCATTGAACAACAAGTGCACCGCAGCCGGGTTCGTCACGTTTTTCATGTCCCCTGGAAACCCTTCCATCAACATTGACGCCTCCGAAAAAAACTGTCAACTTATTAACATATGATCTGTATTTACCTGTATTTACATTTCAATAAAAACTATACACATTAACAGATTAAAGATCAAAAGAAAGTTAACATTAAAAAATTACAGAAAAGAGAGAGAGAGAAAAAAAAAAAACAGTATTTCTGCATCCAACATCAACATGTTTATATTCAGCTGTCCTATCAGCGCTGCAGTTCCCCTTGATTTCACATTCAAACATTTTCATTTTAAGTCACTGCACTACTGACACTCTGGGAGGTGAAAAAGCCCCCGACTCTTTTTTGGAGGTATAATATCTACAGTACAAAACATGTTGCAGTAAAGACATCACTTCAAACATGCTGTGAATGAGTTTGAGTTCACTCAGATATCGGTAGGGACATGTTCCCACCGTCCATATGCAAACCTACGCCCTTGGGGTTGTGATGTAAGTATTTGAAGCTGATGAAGATGTTTGTCTCTTTGCATGTACTTTAATACCTCAGGACACGGACAGAGCTGCAGCCACATAGTCTTCTGTTCGTCCATCCGTCCGTACATAGGTACGTGCGTCCATCCTATTCTTATGGATATATCTCAGTAACGCCTAAACAGAACTTCTTCAAATTTGGCACAAACATTCACTTGGACTCAAGAATGAACTGATTAGATTTTGGAGGTTAAAGGTTAAAGGTCAAGGTGAAAACGCTGTTTAGCCATTACTCAAGACTTCACAACTACGAGGCAGTAATTCTAGTCCATAGTTGCAGTGTGTTGAGCTCTCAGGACTGCCATACATTATACCTCACAAGGCTTGTTACTGTGGTAACCTCGCAGACTCACTGTGAACAGCTGGCACTGCTTCCAGTTGCTCCGAAATGAAAAGTATTTACATGTTTATCTTTTTCCCACACTGTGCCACGGGCTGAGACCAATATGTTGTTTAAAGGTTCATTTCACAATCAGTTGCATCGATGTTGCGTCTAGTGTTCGAGTCAGTCTGGGACATGATGCATGGAAACTGTTGCTGGTCACTTTTGTAACTATGGCAGCTGGTCTCAGGACTGAAGGTTGGTCCATCTGGACTGAACAAGAGACAGAAGAAACCAGCAATGTTCAGGGTGTTCAGGGTGTTCAGGGTGACCAGGTGTTTGTGGTGGTTATCTGAATGATGAGAGACTTCAGCAGAGTTTTGCTTTTGTTTTTAGAAACTCACAAAAACAGTTTGTGCTAATAGAATAAATTTCATGAAACGTGTCTAAGGAGCTGTGAAGATGTGTAACAGATTCACAGGGAATTATTTTTACACATCAATCCACAAACAGACAGCACCAAGCTGAGCTTCTATTAATTATGAATCGCTCATATCTGCACCTGAGGCACTGCTGGCAACAAACACATCTTACATTAGAAATATGATTTTTTTTTTTTTTTTTTTTTTTTTTAAATACATCTCCATGCAACAGATGCCGGATTAAACGTAATTATCAAAATGAATAAAATGTTCACTCTCA